TTCATCTCAGGATAGTAGGATTGTAGGAGGCATAACTCATATTTCTGGATTTGAGTTAAACCTTTTCGGCCTGCAGTATTGGAACCCATTGTATGAGAGGCAATCTACCACTTTCCTTTACCCCACTCACACTTGACAATTCTTCACCAATGCTGACTAATTATTCATGGTCTCCGGTGGGTCACTATACTGAACAATCTGCTATTACGAATAAAAATGGCCTGATACTTGGCATTCGTTATAGCGGGGTGCGACTGTATACACTCGCCGAATCCAACACTCGTAGTCTGTCCCGGACCTAAACAACAGCTACCAGTGCATCACATTCTCCCCATACTAGGCGAGATACTGGTTCCACGGGGGTATCTGATTTGTGGGCCGCAACCGTCGCGGGGTTTTTCCTGTGCTCTGCTCGAAAGAATTGTACGAGTACGGAAGCTATTCTCGATACCGTATCTATCATATCATTCTCGAACTTGTGCGAGAACTCTTGCGTTGTGGCTTCAGGGGAGTTATCCGGTGCACAAGGGGTGTCCAACAAGTGAATTTTTGTTATCGAAAGGAAAAATAATCTTCCTTGGCTGCGGAGGGCATTGCAATTGTGTAGGGCAATTACAAGCACTGTAAATCCTTGTCTTTACCCCCGGGGGGTGGGGGGGGGAGGGCATTTTTAGGGTTTTCAGAGGGAGAGATGGAAGAAGAAAAAAAAAGAAAGAATATCCACCTCCTTTTTCCTTTAAAACCCCGCAGAAGCAAAGCGCTGGTGCCGGTATTCTATATAACACTCGTAATAATAACCCATTCGAACCAGGATGAGAAGTCCAGAACAAGTATATGAAGAGACACAATTTTTCAGCACTTGCACGAGTATGTACTAGTACTTCCGCCACTTGCTGACTGCTTCTGGTGGGAGTCGCGAGCCTGAGGGGTTTGTTGCCTTCTTATTTACAAGTATGGATATCATACAGCGCACACCACCTCTCGATATGGAAAACACCCACAGGTTAAGATATCCGCCCCCTTTAATGCAGTGAGTGGGGTACCGTACTGAACAGTACTCAGTACTCGTACCGGTACAGTACAATACCGTTCTCACGCACAAGACTGCAATCATTCAAAAAATTACAGTAATGTATCATACCGCAATTTGGAAAATCAATCCATCACATTTTCTATTTCTCGATTCTCGCACTACTCGAGTACTGTACTCGTAGGGTATCTGCGGCAAACTATCCCTTCCGTCCCATCCCATCCCATCCCATCCCAACTCCCCATACGGTCGCTCCTCATTTCGTGCAGCGGGAGGGACACCCACGCTACTCGTACTTGTACTCGAGTAGACTACCTTCTCGATCACTCTATAATACATACCAGCACTCTACTCGAACACCGGTAGTTTTCTGGGAGAATCTTATCCTTCACACTCGTTTCCAGTCCTCACCACACCAGACACCTCTCCCTCTTTCCCTCTCCTCTCCTCTCCTCTCCTCCTCCCATTCTCACCTCCCTCTCTTCCTACCGCCCTTCACAGAGTTCCATGCTCCTTGGTGTGTGTGGCTGCCCCTCCCATCACCCACACCCACCCCTTTACCGCCCAATTCATAATATCCGGTTGTCCGTTCCTTTTAATACAGCAGTCTCTCTTCCAACCCGTTTTTCCTCCATCCTGATCATCCACCCCCGGCCTTCTCCCTTCCTCAGCTCTCTACCTTTTCTTCAATTTCTCCGTGTTTGAAAAAGAGGTGACCGGACTGCTTCTGATTGTTTCCTTTTTTCCTTTTTTTCCTTTTTTATTTATTTATTCGACATTTGAACGGATACAAATTTCTCTCAACCCTCTCCTTTTTTTTTTTTTTTTTTAAGCTCCATCTACGGTTTGCCCGTGTGAGCTGGTGTTAAACATGGGTTTCTTCGATAAGCTGCAGTCAAGTGAGTTACCTCTCTTCTACTCGCCTCCTACCACTGCTACCTTACTTTGGTATAAGTCATGAAGCTAATAGCTCTTACAGAGATTGAGGTAAACAATCACCACTTCCGTCGTTCTTAGCTTAAACATGCACATTTCCGGATCAGGAGACAAGCGTATACTAATGGGAGCATCATCTAGCTATTCAAACTGGAGCAGAGATACACTAAGAGAAAGAGACGGACCACCTTCATCTCGGAGGCTCAATACATAGAGTGCGTTTCGTTTCTCACCCTCCCCCAACATGACGCTTATCATTGAATCTTCAACTGACATGATTTTTTTTAGCGGTGAATACGTCTACAAGAGCTACCAACCCAGTAGTCCGAGTAAAGGTTCCTTCCGCGTCGCCGAATTTGGGACAGGCAGCACGCGCAGGCGATCGAACCAGAGCTGATACGTCTTAATTATCCGAGGTGCCAACAACAAACGGAGCGGGGAGGAGACAGAATGGAGGAGGAGAGAAAAGCGGCCGCGCGCTGTGGACAACCATGTTCGACGAATGAGGATAAATTACGGATATGCGACTATGCAACAACAACACACTTAAGCTAGAGAAGATCCCCCCGATAAGCGAAGAATCTAAAGAAACCCCTGCGGAATTAAATACCAGCGAAGACTGTGATATCTCATTCCTACTGCAGGCGAGTATATATATCCTGCTGTGTTGCATCTTTGCTTTTTCGATCGAATTTTTTCTTCCCTTTCTCTTTGAGTGATAAGCGAGTGTGCGAACCGTTTCTTCGCTAGGGGGGGAAGTTCGTGGAAGGGGGTTCAAATTTAATTTTCTCTCGTTCAAACTTGCTTCGATCAAATATCCCCACCTTTCTTCTTTTTATTTCCTTTTTCACCAGATACCGATTTTTATTACCGCCTTTTTCGTCACTCTCTTTAGCGGACAATCTTTATGGATGCTTTCCTTTTTGTTCCCTTCATACTCCCCCAAGCTTGTAAAATATTGACTTCGCTTTTCATCATCATACTTCGCTCTATTTCTGTTCGTTGGGGAGGTCGCATGTACAGTACTGTATGTCTGCATCTGTCTAGTCACTTTTTCACTTTACTCTTTTTTTGTCTCCCCAAGTTAACCTGATCTGATACCCGGGTGCGGTTCTGTTGTTGGGCTGATCAATAGGATGGAATCATAAAGCGTGTGCATCAGTCATGTGGTCGTGAGCTGCGGTACTATGACACTGTACTGTATGTGGCGTCCATCGTGCGAAAAGGGTTCGAGGTTCGAAGAGGGGTGGGGAGGGATGGACGGATGTGGGTTTCTAGGGGGTATCGGGTGTGGTGCTACAGTACGTGATCAAGCCATTTACCATGGTGGATAGTGCCAAGTAGTTTGACTAGTGAGGGTCTTGATATGATATAATATTTGAATCGCAGTGCCATACCATACCACACTAACCGTCTTGACTTATATTAATACGAAAAAAGTGCGTTATTGCGCTTTCGCGCCAAAAGGAACATGACGAAGCCGAACAGGATGACATGAGCATGAGCAGGACTAGACTTGAAAAGGATGGAACCAAACTCCGTATTTCGCAGTAAGAGAAAAGTGAAGAAAGGAAATGGGAAACTGGAGAAAAAATAATGTATCGGTGATCGTGATCGTGAAAGGATTGGGAAACGATCGCGCAAGCATGATATGAAGGCAGAGGGGGGAGGGCAGTGTAATATCAAGCATCACCGTCACGGCTTGTTCCTCGCCCTTCTCCCAGACGCCAATCGCCCAATGGCCAACCCCCCCCCACCACCGCTACCCCCACCAGCGCCGCCTCGTCCCGCCCTAGGCGCGTTCGTGCCGGCAGCGTTCGTCGCGGACCCAGTGGGCGTGGATGTCCTTGACGGAGACAAAATCGAAGAGGTAGCCCCGCCACCACCACCACCACCACTGCTCGCCATTGAGCCCTGGTTCGCCGAGGTCTTCACATTGTTGTAGTGCATCTGCTGTCTCCTGGCCTTGTCCTGTACAGCCTTGAACTTCTCCAGTAGTTCAATCCACTTGATCTCGTCGCCGCGGCCCTTCAATCTTGTGGGGCGCTCGTACGGGGCGGAACTTCTGGATCCGGGGGGTGCAGCGTTAGCGCTACTCTTCCCTTGGAGGGAGGAAGGTGGGTCATACGCTCTCGGGGCGATGTGTAAGTATCCTATTGCGCTCACACTGTTTAGACGGTTCTTCAAGAGGGCAAACGCGGACGATTGTGGGAGGAGCATGAGGAGGCCGTAGAGACATTTGTAGAGGTATGGGTGCTTTTCGGGCTCGAGGAGTTGGAGGCGGAGATCTGTTATTCAGGAAAAGATAATTTGGTTAGTGATGATGTGATAAGGTGCAGGTTGGTTATGGCAAAGGTACATGTGAAAACCGGGGATTCAAGAAGTTGAACTAGTTTGTCGACTTGGATTAGGAGGTTGACGGTTATCTCTAGTTCGGCACTATGCACGGGTTCATAGATTAGCACTCGGCTACGAGATAGGGTATTGTCCGAGTAATCGGAGGTGGAGACAAACAAAATTTGCAAGAGGTTGGATGCTTGTTCGTATGCCTGGGCCATTAGACACAACGAAAAAGTTGCGACAGCGTTGTGGCACCAGGATCTGAACAGACTGACAAAGAAAGTCTGACCATCCTATGTGTATTGACTTCAGCATTCCCGTCCATAAGCGGAGCGATTAGCATAATATCAAACCTTAGTATCCAAACTCCTCAACCGCTTCCTCAAGTCGGCAAGCTCAGGGGCTGTCATTAAGTTGTTGTTCAGGTTCTGGATCATGATACTTGCAAATTCAACATCTTCATCCTTCTCCAAGATGTCTGCCAGCGTTCTGTATATCCGCTCCGGATTAAGATTAACACATAGGTGCCTGATAATTAAATTTCCTTTTGTCTCTAATAGTCGCCGATCTGTGCTAAACAGCGATAGGAGATTGACCATAAAGGAAGTAAAGTAGTTGTCTTCACTATTATGGGAAATTTGAGAAAGTAGTTGCAGGTCCCTGGTCACAACTTGATCGCTAGGATCCGAGAGGGTCTTGAGAAGTGCGGGAAACGTTCCGTCGTTGATTGCCAACATCTTTTAAACCGTTAGTCGAGATATGTAAGTTCCTGAACCCGAAAGAACAGACCTTGCGAGGGGCTTTCCTGTGCAGCATCAATAACCATTCCAATGCCGCCACCCGGGTCTGCTCATGTTCGTGCAAAAACTGTAAAGTCAGAGCATTCACAGTAGCCGAGTAGTCAAGCTCAGCGGTTTTGGGCGGCGTAGGAGATGCTGGGGGTATGGGTGTTGTAACGGGGGGTATAGAGGAAGGTGTTCGTCTGCCTAGATCAGAATCCTTCGACAGAGGTTGTCGAGCTTGTGAGTCTCTCCTGTCACTAACTGTGCTCTCTCTAGTGGGGATTCTTGACATCGGTGGCGATGTTGCCGGTTCTCCCGCCACATCATCGGATAGTGACATTATCAGGCTCGATAATGAGGTATTGACCTTCATAGCTGCATTCCGTACAGTCTCCCCTTCATGTGCAATCGCGGGGAGAACGTGGGATAGCAGCCGGGGGACAAAGAGCAAAAGATCCTCGGGACATATATCAAAGAAACTTTCGACCCATCTTAGAGCTGTGAGTTGGATCGATTCCTCTGTGTTCCAATATAAGCCTTGTGGACAATTAATGTACTGCCGTCTGAAGTGAATTACCTACCTGACGCGTCAAGGAATGGAATCAATATCTCTAGAATCTTTTGGTGGTCAACGATAACGTCTTGTCCAGGTATCCACGATCCATCCGCACTAAGTCCCTTTTCCTCCGGAGGGGGGGCTCCTTCCCCGTTCTCATCTAAGCTTAGCTTTTCACATAGTCTTATTCCTTCTTCCGTATCACCACTATCGCTGTTACTGCGTGTCCTTGACTGTGACATCCTGCCCGTCCGGCTTTTCCTAGATTCTTCGATACCACGCTTGATCCTAGCGATTTTCTTGATTTCTGTCAAGAACCCTTCCAACGCTTGTTGGGTCGCTGTGTGAACATCACCAACAGGGTTGCTAAGAAACTTGAATAATCCCTCGAGAAATTCTGGAAGGTATGTTACAAGTTCTAGGTCAGGTATTGAATCCAACAATGTGATCCAGGATACAAGAAATATGCGAGTAAAGGGATTTACGACATGTATTCTCTCGGTGAGAAGGGGTATAAAATTGGGCAAAGAGAATGCGGTGGGAAACGCAGCATCCGAAGCATAGGTCGGGGAATTTTCATCCGATTGTGCATCTGTGATACTTTGTTCTGGTGACTGCAGGATAGAAACGTAGGTGGCGGCGGATTCAGCCACGATATCCTTGACAAGCCGATCCAATAATTCCGCCCCGTTCTTGACCGAGAGCTCGGAATCCGCTGCTAGCTGCACCTCCGGGCAAATGCTTAATCTATGAATTGACAAGGAGCGACTGCTCGAGAGATATGAACGGACCTTGGACAATGCGTCAAACACATCATTGAAAAATGGTAATATTTCCCCCTTGGCTACTTTTGCGATGTTATACATGCTCTCACAAGCGTAATATCTAACCCGTGCATCCTGGTCGGCAAAGCAGGCGAGAACTGGTGGAACGATTTCACCCAGATACCGAGCGACCTCCTAAACAGCGGTTAGTTGCGGAGTCCTCATTTAATTGTGGGTCGGCCCCCTCCGAAACATCGTCAAAGAAGCGGATATCCCCACCGTCCCAAGAGCGATAGACGCTGCAGCGAGACCAATCAGTCCACCATTGCGAGCATGGGGCTGATGCACGGCATACGCGAAGTCGTGACAAAGCTGGTCAATAATCAGGCGGACTTTCTCGTGGTCGTCGTGGACAACACATTCCCGAACTGTTTTTTCCAGCCTTTACAAGGCGGAGGGGGGAAGAATTCAGTCAGTGTTCTGCATCGGCCGGTTCAAAACATGAGTTAGTGGCCTACTCAAGCGCACCGAGCTTCCTTCGATCGTAGAGCTTGTCATTAAGACTGCGTTGAATGGAGCTCTCCATCGGACGCTAACGCTCTGGGCGTCCGTCGGAGCTTATGGAGTCCGGAAAAATCTGGAGGGGTAGTCCCGGACGGATGTAGAGATGCGGGGTGGGGAAGGAGGGGGGGCAAGAAAGCGCGGGGGTTTCAAAAGGGGAAGCAAGAAGTGTGGAGTGCAGTAGGAGGAAAAGAGGGCAAGGGTGGGTAGAAATAGACGTAACGCGTGACGAACCAGTCCAGGATAAGTAAAGTGACTCCTAGCCGTGACTCGCCTGGTGAATCAATTGATGGGTTTTCAAGAGGGGGGAAGCTTTGGCGATAGACTAAGCGTTGTAACAGGGTCACTTGCTTTGCTTTGCTCTCGAGGATGCTCTGGGAATTGTGTCGAATGAGTTCCTTCTTCTATCGGTAACTTGTGTTGAAAGAAAGTTCGTGAACTCTTCTGATTGTGTCGCAGCTGCCTGCAGAAAGCCCGCGGAACCGCTCGAACGACGTCAAAGTGTGGCGTTCGGGTAGCCCAGAAGCCGGGATTCGCTGAGATGTTGTGGCTGATACTTCAACGAGTTCCACCCCGGCGGAGTATCGGTAGGCCATAGTCTAGTTAGATCACAGCTCCGAACCGTCTTCAAAGGTTCTTATCATATACATCTATTTTTCCGTTTTCATCGGGACCGTCAATTAAAATACAATACTTGTATCAGGGGAGGTGGTTGTGAACACTGGTTTTATAAGCAAGAGTCACGTTGAAATTTCATAAAGTGTATTTCTATTCCGATGCGTAAAAGATAGTATATAAGAAAGGAGGGGAGGGGGACTTCCGAACAGCAATACCGTATTATACACTCACAATATTATATACTCTCCCAAGCAGTCTTTACGAAGGATTTTTGTTCAAACTCTGGCCGCCTTCCACCCTCCAACAATCCACCTAGCCAACGCCCAACAAATGGACGAGGCAACAAGGGTTACTCCGCAGAATATCTGTAATCCCAAAAATCCTCCATCGTACCTGTCGATTAGAGCACCGCCGATAGGTACACCCGTCAGTGCCGCAATAGACACCGTAGCAAACATAACTCCAATTCTAACCCCAATCTCCCGGATATCCGAAATCTGGGCCAGACAAGCCGGTGCGAGGGAAACAAAAGCGCCTGTTGTGAATCCGTAAAAGCAGACGAACAAAATAGTAGGTAGGTTTCCCACCGTTGGAAGCCATAGGGCCAACACGAGGATTCCGGAAGCACCCGTTGTCAGGATCATCATCTATCAATCACTCATGTTAGTAATCCGACAATAAATTATATCGGCTCCTAAGGGAAGGCATACATTATATCTCCCAAACTTATCCCCCAGCCAACCTGGCAGGATACGACCAAATATACTCGTGCCATTCAGTACGGAAACGAGGTAATTCGCCAGGGAAACTGACATCCCGTTCCTTCTTGCGGAGACAACAATGTAATTGAACGGTAAGAACATTCCGAAAAAGAACAAGAATGCCGCAGCGATCGACATGGAGTACCCAAGCTCTTTGAAATGCTTCAGGAAGTCGCTCGGTCTAAACGGGGTCCAACCCTTTGGCGGAAGTCTGGACCTGAGAGTGAGGTTTGCGATGATCATCATTCCGAGGATTAGAAAGGCGGTGATGCGCATTGTCCAGCCTAGTTGATCACTGATTAGTGTTGTTTAGAGAGACGGTATTTGGAGGTGTTCTCTCTCACCATAACCAACCCGAGGAATCAATCGCTGGATCATAATCGGTAGAATCACACCTCCCAGACTCGATCCTGAAGCCACTACTCCAAAAGCAAATGCCCTCCTTTTGAAGAACCAGGTAGGGACATCCCCGAGCGCCGGGTAGAAGGTAAGTGAAGCTCCGATAGATGAAACAATTCCTTGACATACAAGGAAGTGCCAATATTTCGACGATATGGAAGTCATTATTAGGCCGAAAACGTGGAAGAAAGTTCCAAGTACTAATATGACACGAGAGCCATAGGCATCATAGTATTTGCCTATAACTGGACCGAGAAAGAACATACCTGTACAATTCCAGTTAGTAATGCCTCATGCAGGGGGTTTTGAAGGGACAGTTGCTTACAAAATGTTTCCAAACTTAATATCCAAGCGACGGTACTTGGTGAGTACTCTTTAAGTTGGTTCTACCAACCTGTCAGCTAGGAGAAGAAAAGAAAAGAGAATGACTCCGGGTGCGACTTACAGCCTCATAGTAATCTTGGAATATTCCAATACCTGTTTCACCAGTCAGTACGGTTCCCAGTTCCTGCCGGGCATCGCATACACTATCACTTACAATTAATCCAACCTAAACGCCACAAACATGTCAGCAAGCACTCCACATCCCCACCCGCCGTTCTTAATTCTTCACACAAACAAAACCTACCAAAACTGCAAAACGACGCCGCAAACCCCCCAAGCACGCACAGCCAAGCAGCTGCTCCACCGTCCGGAAAACTGGAGGGGTCGTTGATGGGAAGCGTAGCAGGCTGCTTCTCCAAGTTCTTGAATTCCTCCCTCGCGGGCCCTATCTCCACATCATCCCCATATCCTTCACCCTTCCCCGAAGACACCCGGCTAGAGTCAGTTTCTTGTGGATTGCGGTCTTCGCAGCCCCCATCCGGGATGACGAGGATTGGTGGCGAGTTAGCGGGGCCTTGCTCTTTGTCCATTTCGTGCTTAGAGAATTAGAACGGTATCTCTTGCTGGACTGACAAACAGCTGGTGAAGCCTCCGCGAACCCCCCCCTCTTGAAATAAATAAAAAATGAAAAGAAGAAAGAAGCAGAAGAAACCAGGGTATTAACCTAACACCGCCCTAAGCAGTGGCTAAACTTTATGATACTCTCCCAACGGAGATCGGACCCACTCCCTTTATACAAGTGCAATTCTTAAAATCTTTCAAGGATACCCGATTCGTCCGCAATACCTACAGTACCGGTAGTCCCCAGTCACTCCCATCTGCATAAGCAAGGTACGGCGGAGCAAAGTGCCACAACGTAAGCCAAAAACTTCCCCGTTCCACCAAGCACACATATCCCCTCTCCCCCTAGCTTGCCCCCCTATCAAAAACCTTGGGAGAATAAGGCGGTTTTCTCTTTCTCTTTCGTTCGGTGTTCAGCTGAGGGCTGTGGGCATGCTGCCGTATGACATTAATACCTTCTATCATATCAATGGTATAGAAGGGCGGTATTATACTGCAAAGTTCTTTAGTGCTCAAGCACTGGTACGGGTGCTGGATCTCTATGCTTTTGCACTGCGTCTGGAATAGCGAGCAAGGAAATGGGGAACGGGAGATAGTCTACGATACGAGCTTTCTCCCAAAGCTAACCCCGAATGTGTCAGATCCTCAATAATTAACCATTGGGGGGGGGGGTTGGAGTATTGGAGGAGGAGATGCTTGCTCTTGCATGTTCCAACCAGGACTGTCTTCTTTCCCCCTTCCTTTTGGGGATAAATAGATACAGTACTCAAGTATGCCTTTTGGGGTCAAGTGTGCTCGTAGATACGTAGGGTGGGATTTTCCCTTTGCTAGGCTTCCAGCTTCTAGGAGGAGAACGGAGGAGAACTCCAGAATCATGCAACAAACTGCTACGCATGGAACATCCAGAATAACACCCATCCACCGCGAATCACCATCACACCGTATGATATCATTTCCACAACAACTGCATTCGTAAGGCTTCGTGAGCGTATATCAAATTTACAGGTCCATCCATCGCACACCCAAAACCCTAGAATCTCCCCGTCCCGTCCACTCCCCAGAGAACAAACAAAGACCCAGGGTACCGGTACTCCCTCCTCCACTACCGCATAATCCCGTATATTGAAAAAAAAAAAAAAAAGAGAAAAAAGGAAAAAAAGGAAAAAACTGGGAACACACCCACGACATCATATCCTCTCGAATGACCCTTTCACAGCACGATACCCAGCAGAAAAATCGGAGAATCGGTAAGTTATGTACCCTTGCGACAACCAAGCATTAGTCAGCATCACAACCTTACCCTATCTCTCGGATGCGGTGCCGGTATGCGGTGCCGGTGGAGCCAATGATGGCGAATTATCACTGCCGGTACTTTTTCATTATTAATCAATTGACACTTTTTTTTTTTTTTTTTTTTGGGCTGCGTCAAAAAAAGTGGATACCACTGCAAAGAGGGTCAGATTTCAGACGACAGTCCTCGGGAGGGAGCAAGGAAAGAAGCACCCAATTCCACCGCCACATGCTCGAGTAACCGATACCATGCTTCCTCCCTGTCCCTTCTGCCATTTATTGCTTGAATGGATCGGTGAATTTGTTTTTTGTGTGTGGATGTGAGTGAAGGAAATATATATATATTATATATACTCGTAAAATTGTGCAGATTTTTTGTACCTGATGTCCAATTGCTCTGGTTCAACCCATTCATAATGCTGTGCGAAGTTGAGCCACTCCACAGTTTACCTCATGGTGCGAGCACCACAAGGAGGAAAGGATACATAACCCAGCGTCGGTGGGTTCAATGCAAACTCCCTACCGGCAGTCTACCCGATTGGGATGTTTTAAATTACCGTTACTGCGATGGCTCCTTTACTTGTACTCGTGCAAGTATGTTACCACGTGTACGGTATGATACTTTCCAGATTTTTACCGGGGGTAAATTTTAGATGGCTTATGTAAATTTATTATGATACTCGTACTCGTAGACTAACGCTGTAAGTTAACCTTTTCCGAATGCGCGTTGGTGACTCAATTTCGCATAATATTATCATATTATTTAATGAGAATAGCGGTAGTTCTACAATAGGGTAAATTAAGAGGGTTGTATAGTAGCATGCCTTTAGTTTACCCGTTGCCGAGGGCATGTGTACGTGATACTTGTAGACTAGCCTGCACTAAGGCTATCATACTACTTGTAAAGTTAGTGCTCTATGTAAGAGCAAAATTTGCAACCAGCATCAATCAAGTCTTGTTTTATGCCGCTGCGCTTAGCATCGCCCCACACCGGGATGAAGTTCTAGCCCTGCGGAAACGCATTGGGTACGAATATGATATGTACGGTACCGATACTCTTACTCGCCGCGCAGCTCGGATTTACGGCCGCCCGAACAAAATCTCCTCCTATCACACCCCCGGCAAACGGGTTCGGTGGAACTTCTCTCCCCTGCCCCCTTCCCGGGGTGTTGTGCAGCGGCCAAAGAAATGGGCTGATTATCTGATCCAGAGATTACGATACGATAACCTGCCTTGTGATAGGGTAATCATCTGCATCTGGGCAAGCAATCAACCGGAACCTTCCAGGTTTTGGTGGCATGCAGTGGTACAGTACTCTAAATTTCATGGCTAAAAGAAGGAAAGGTGGGCTACGAGGGGTTGCGTTCGAGCGGGGAAAGAAAAAAAATTTCCGGGAAAAACCCAGCGTCCCAAATCGATAGTGAGGTACAAGTACCTTTTGTGGGGGGAATGTTATGCCACTATCGACCCCGGCCTTCCCCCCAGCACGAGAACTCCACGAGCGATCGACCGCCGCGGCGTAGTACAATGTCAAAGTATCCGAGCAGTACTAGGTTACGTGTGCTGCAAGTCTTGCTGATAATAGGGCGTGGTGTCAAGGGGTCCTGGTGCAGTGGTTCGTATCCACTACGCCCCTCGCGACTCTCAAGCGTTCCGGGCACCGAGCCTGTACGAAGGTACAGCATGTACACGTCCCAGGCATACTGAACCCGAACACAGGGGTGTAAAACGGGGGGTGAGCAGGGGCCTGATAGGGGTTCGGCACACAGTCTGACATTGCGCATTTGGCTAAAGGGCTGAAGTTGAAGTAGTGGAAAGTGTGTATCGTATTCAATAGAAGTCACTTGTAGATATACAGATTGAAAGAAAACCACGATAGTTAAAGATTAAAAATTAGAAATTAAAATTAATATTAAAATTAAGAGTTAAGAATTAAGAATCAAGAATTAAAAACTAAAAAACTAAAAAATTTAAAAAATTCACTACTACGAATATGGCTTGGCGAGGAAAAGGTTTTCACGTGACACATGGTTATGAGTCACAGGTATGTTATTGTTTCACACATATGACTCATTCGAGTCATATGATTTGTTATATGTAGGATTTGTGATGCTTTCGCATATGGCTCAAATATGAGTCATGGAAGTGCACCTGGCGAGTATGCCTTACGAGTGTGCCTTGGGGGTAGGCCTGGTGCATATGATTTATGTTTCACACATGACCTCGTTATGAGGTCATGGATTTCACGCATATGACTCAGTCGAGTCATATGACTTGTTTATTGTGTTATGATTGGTTTATGAGTTTTCACATAGGACCTTGTTATGAGGTCATGGGTTTTGAGCATGTGATAACCTTGGTCACATGACTTGTTTGTTATGATTTGATTTTGCACATGTGACCACTTTGGGTCACATGACTATGGGCGGGAAGAACACTATATAAGGAGGCCAATGCGGCTGAGGAGGATCGGTTCTTCACGCTTTGTTCTAAGTACTTTTCCTCGTCCTTGCTGTCGCTTCGCCCCGAGCGTTTCTTTCGTACTCATGGTAGGCCTTGATGCCCTGAATTCTGGGGGAAATATCTGAGTTCGCTCAGTAGTTCCTGGGGTCTTTAATGTTGAGGTCTGTTAGGTGTTACGTGGTGGACAACTTGTTTGCTTCTTGTTTCGTTGCCTGTTGGGTTCTCACGATGCTGTCACTTTGAGCACTTCATCACGGTCGCATACGAGCCCCTGTCGGTAAAATGTCTATGGCTTCCTGTCTATCATCTACTCGCAGGTTTCGCGTTCAATTGGGGGGATTGAACATTGTATTTGGGGGGATCACCCATGTCGTTCTTTGGGCCAGCTCATCTCTTCTGTTGGGTTTTAATGGAGTCCTTAGTTCTCGCGATACGAAACGCCCTTGGGTTAGACTGATGACCTTCCCAAGTATCAATGCGTCGTACCGGCCGTATCAATCCACTGGGAAGGGGGCCTCGCCGGCCCCCTCCCTTCTTGTTACTACATGTTTCTACAGTCGGAATCCTATGATGTTGTTTATCACCGTTCTCTTGGAAGTTTTGTCCTTGCGGCATTCACAGTCGTTCATCCAGGTGTCTCCTCCTTGCTACGGTGGGGATGGCTTTGACCCTGAAAAATCTTACCCCCTGGCGTGGTTTTTCATTACTACCTGGGGTGGTGTGGGACGATTGGCTACCAGACACTTGCGTGGTCTGTGCGTTTGGGTGGTTCGGTTATGGTCGGTGGTTGGCAGCTTTACCCATTGCAAGTAGGGCCTACCTTCTGTTTGTCTGCTTCTGTTCGTTCGCCCTCCCCGTTCTTATCACGTCAGTTGGGGATGCCTCTTGTCCGTCGTTCAGTCCGTGCCTGTTGCTGGACCTGTGGAGCTGGCTTTGGCTGGCTCTACTTACCTTTTCGCAACTCAGTTGGACTTCAGTTCGGCTAGGTTGAGCGGTGTGGCTGGTGCTGATGCTTTCAGATATTGGTGCTGCCTCCTTTGTGGCTCCCGGCTATGGCTGATGGGCCCTTCTCGGCTATATGGTGTTGAGGGTTGGGGCTCTGTTGGGTGGCCAAGACCAGTGGCTGTCCATCGGGGCTAGGTATAAGTTGTCTTGTGGCTATCGGATAGTTGATCTGTCTGAGGGGCTGAGGGGGCTGGATAGGCTCTGTGACACCTGGTGTGTGAGGCTTGAAGGGGGCTGATTGGGAGGGGAGAGGCACCTGCGAGCACTGGTTGGGCATGTGTCAGGTTGAGCATTGTCTAATTAAGTGTTTCTAGCCTGAAAGGGCTGTCGGGTGAAGCTGCTGAGTGCTGTAAAGCTCCTCGACGACTTGGATGGTTGATGGCCACCTCTGCGGATAGTGGGTTGCGACTACCTGGTTGGACTTGTTTGGGTCTTGCGTGTGGGCTTTGTGGGGTTTGTTTGGTTTTTTTGGTTTGGCAATAGGCATGGCTGGCGAGTGCAGGACACAACGGGTGGGAGATAGGCCCCATTGACCATTTCGGTCTGTCATCACCTCTATGTATTTCTTTTGTTTATGGATTTTGTTTTTTGGGGAACAGGCAGCAGGTACAGGTCCTCCTCACCATTATGCTCTTTAGAGGTACTTGGCAAAGTGGGTTCATAGGATCGACAGTGGGACATGCGGATGCGAGAGGTGGATATGTTGGTCACCTCCTCTCTGCTATTGTGTCGTCTGTAGTTTATGTTTGTTTTAGTTTTGTTGGTTTTTTACTGTGGTGGAG